CTGAATAAGATTAGAAGACTTCGGTTCTTATCTTTAACGTCGATTCATGAAGAGGAACCGTTAGAGATAGATGACCTGATAGCAACTGCAAGCATTGAGAAGCTCTTTCTTGCTGGGAAACTGGAGAGGGTACCAATTTGGTTCAACACCCTTCAAAACCTTACCTATTTGGGTTTGCGTGGATCTCAGTTGCAAGAAAACGCCATTCTCTCTATCCAAACGCTTCCTAGATTGGTATGGCTTTCGTTTTACAATGCATACATGGGGCCTAGGTTGTGTTTTGCACAAGGATTTCAGAATCTGAAGATTCTAGAGATAGTTCAGATGAAACATCTGACAGAAGTTGTTATAGAAGATGGTGCAATGTTTGAGCTTCAGAAGCTTTATATCAGGGCTTGTAGAGGGTTAGAGTCGGTACCGAAAGGAATTGAGAATCTTATAAATCTTCAAGAACTGCATTTGATTCATGTTTCTAATCAGTTGGTGGAAGGGATTAGTGGAGATGGAAGTGTAGACCGGTCAAGGGTTAAACACATTCCTGCGATTAAGCATTATTTCAGAACTGATAATGGGTCTTTCTATGTGAGCCTCTCATCTTGAGTGGCCAAGGCAAGCTTCATCATACAAGATACTGCACATTGCACTGTGAAAATTAGCAATCATATATACTAAACGTCATGAGTTTACCAAACAGCTAACTTCCACTGCTTTGTACATTAAGTTGGTTAAATATGGTCAGCTATTTGTTATGTAATTCTGTTTGAAGCTAAAACCTTATTAGTCTTTCTGAATTAAAGTGGTTCATTTACAATCCCAAAAAGTAGGACCTTTACTATTCGATGTAACTAGATATTTGGACTAAATAGTTTACTACTACGAGATAACATTCCAAAATGCGTCATTCCATTTTAAATTCATCCTCTTTACGATCCAAAACTGATCGAAAAGTTTTGAAGTTTTGAAATATTGAAAAAAGAAAGTAAAAAATCTTGTTATCAACGATCCGCGGCGGTTAAGATGGAGATTATATGGATATCTGACCATTCGTGTTAGCCACGCGCAAGTGAAGCGCGTAAAGTACATAGTAACCTCCCCGAGAATCGGATCCGGATCCGAAAATAGCTGACCCGTTTTGAAGCGGTTTGATTTTCAATTTTCCAAAAGACCGTTTTGGGCCAAGTCAATAACAAAAATTTAAGTCGAGGCTATTTGGTGTCCCTTGGTATTATTATTATCGGCCTTTTCCGATGCTCTTTCTTTCTTCTTCATCTTGAAACTCGCGATTCCTTCACTTCTCCTTCTAGGGTTTACTAAGGGTTTCTCAGTCCATTTCACTCTCTTTGTTCTTCTCCAGAGCTTCGTTCACTATTCTCTCTAAAACTTAGGGTTTTCCATTTTCCATCTCCTGGTGTAATGGATAGATACGAGAGAGTCGTTAAACCGAAACCAGAGTCTCCGATTAACGAGAATGAGATCCGTATCACCAGTAAAGGCCTTATCCGAAACTACATCAGTTATGCCACCACTCTTCTTCAGGTACTCTCTCTCTCTCTCTCTCTTTCTATTCTAACTTTTTTCAAGTCCTTCGCTAAAATCGTGCTTCAGTTCTCACTGGAGTGTGAAATGTTCATTGGATTTGTGTGTTCGCTGGTCTGTTGTAAGGTTTTTTGGAGGGCAATCTCTCTTTTGGATCATTTAGGTTTCAAATGTGTCATCATGCATCATTTTTACTTTGATTTCGTTTTTCTTGCATTTCTGATCCTAAAAATGACTCTGTTTGCGATGTCATAGTATTGGAATAATGATGATCTGTTTCTTTTGCTTTCAGGAGAAAAATGTGAAAGACATTGTGTTGAAGGCAATGGGGCAGGCAATCAGCAAGACGGTGGCCATCTCTGAGATACTAAAGGTCTGTGCTCTCTTTTTTTTAGTATATATCATCGAATTGGGGTTTTCTGATATATGCAAGTAGCTGAATTTGTAATCCATACTGCAGAATAAAATTCCAGGTTTGCATCAAGACATTGCAATCAGTTCTATGAGCATTACTGATGTCTGGGAGCCTACTGAGGAGGGTCTTTTTCCGTAAGTGTCTTGCTTTTGCATTACTCTGTTCCTTTGTTTTGTTTTTGGGTAGCCTCAAGTTAATTTCCATATGTTGCAGGGTGGAGTTGACTCGCCATGTTTCCATGATTTCTATCACATTGTCATTGACTGAGCTAAATAAAGATTCTCCTGGGTGAGTTTTACTTTTTTTTTTCTTGGAACTTGGGAAGTCTTGATTCATACAGATCGTTTGCTTTTAATTATTTTTGTTCAAAAGAATCATCTCAGACTCATATTATCATCGAATTTTACTTTACATGGTATCCTCGGTTCTTAAGATATAGCGACAATAAAGGCTTCTAATTGTGTTCAGGTATCAAGCTCCAGCCCAAACAGATCAGTCTAAGCCTCAATATCAGCCACAACAAGGGAGACAAGCCCGCCTGCCATACAATGCTTATGGTGAAGGTAATGCCTGAATCTTTCTTAAGAACTTAAAGCTGTCTATGTTGGTAGGTTATATACTATAACACCTTTTGAAAAATTTGAATGTAGATTCTTATGGTAGAGGGAGAGGTCGTGGCAGAGGGAGCGGCAGGGGAAGAGGTGGATATGGAAACTACCAAGGGGGTTATGAAGGGAAAGACCAAGGGAACTATCAAGAAGATTATCAAGGTATGTTATGCCATCGAAGAAGTTCATTCTGTTTCCTGTGTTTCTGAGATTCTGATATTGGTATTTATTGACGACATTAGTCTAATGATAAATATATGTTACTGTTTGTTTAGTTTGTAACTGACTCGTAGCTTTATTTTGGTATAATTAGACAATGAAGGTGGGTATCCAAACTGGGGTAGAGGCCGTGGACGTGGTGGACGAAGCTATGGCCATCGTGGTAAGTCTGAACATTTTCAATTAGTAAAACTCTGCATAATTTTAATGTGTAAGGGTGATGAAACTATAATCTAGATCAACACTGGGAAGTGTATTTGTTTGTCACTTATCTTTAAACCCTGCTTAATCAAGTGATATCCTTTTTGTTTCAATCTTTACGTTTTGTTTGAAATACAGTTTTTGGATTTAATTTGCTCCACTTGATTTTGTTTTAGGTACTGGATATCAGGGTGGCAGAGGCGGGTATGGTGGTGGGAGAGATGGCGGATATGGTGATGGGAGAGATGACGGATATGGGGGAGGGAGAAACGACAGGTATGGTGGAGGAAGAGACGATGGGTATGGTGGAGGGAGAAACGACAGGTATAGTGGAGGCAGAAACGACGGGTATGGTGGAGGAAGAGATGACGGGTATGGTGGAGGGAGAAACGACGGGTATAGTGGAGGCAGAAACGACGGGTATGGTGGAGGGAGAGATGATGGATATGGTGGAGGCAGAAATGATGGGTATGGGGGAAGAAGAGGCGGATTTCGAGGCGGTCGTGGTGGAGGCAGAGATGAAGGATATGGTGGAGGCCGAGGTGGGTATGGTGGTAGAGGTGGAGGAAGAGGTGATGGGTATGGTGGAGGAAGAGGTGATGGGTATGGTGGCGGCAGGGGTGATGGTTATGGAGGTGGCGGCAGAGGTGATGGTTATGGAGGTGGCCGAGGTGATGGGTATGGTGGCAGCAGAGGTGATGGTTATGGAGGTGGCCGAGGTGATGGTTATGAGGGAGGCCGAGGCGGATACCGTGGAGGTAGAGGTGGATATGGTCGTGGACGTGGAAGGTTGGGTAATGGTGGTCGTTCAAGGGGTGGTGCTAGTAACCAAAACGAAGCCTAAGCTGTTTTGATATCCCATTTTCTAAGCTATATGGGTAATTTGCTGCTTAATTTTCCGTTGCCTAAAAGACCCTTAAAATTCTTAGCACAATCTACCGACCACTCCCAAGGGTTTTGATATGTTTTTAAGAGGTTATGGTTAAAGTATGTGATCTTCGGAGGACGGTTCTGTAAAATTCCCTTTTGGTAATTTCCATATCAAAGCCTAAGGGAGTTCAAGGAAGGGGTTTTGTTTTGTTCTCTTTACCTTTCTTCTGCACAAATTTAGCCAAGTACAAAATCAGCTTATGTTGCATTTTTTTTTTTTTTTTTTTTAGCTAAGCAAAATATGTTGCATCTTGTAATTAATTATGGATATCTTTTTTTGGTATGTCTAAATTTCTCTGTAATGTGTCTTATAGTATATTGTGAGGAAATCAAATTAATAAATGCTTTCTAAAGGGAGAAAAGATTTAGTGCAATATTGGATGGAGTAAAAGAACAAAAAGAGACAGCCAAACTTAGCTGCACTCCCTATTGATTGCATCTTCATTTACTCTTAATTTTATTTTAGTCCTTTCTTTGAGAAAAAGTTTAACAAGTTAAAATATTTTGGATGTCTTCATCTAAGAGTTGGCAGGATAAATGAAAATTGGATTTGTGTCCGATGTAAAAAAGTGGTGCTGCCCAGGATCGAACTGGAGACCTTTTGCGTGTAAGGCAAACGTGATAACCACTACACCACAGCACCAGCTGACCATAAACTGATGTTTAAAGATGATAACAAAAAACTGGCAATTAATCCATGAATTAAAAAATATGCAAAAATGCACTAATAGGCTTTCCCAAAAATAATATTAAAGAAGAGAGCTAAGGAGCAGTATATAACATGTGAAAATATGAAGAAGAAAAATATCATGAAAAATGGTAAAAACAATAATTACTCTTCTTAGATATTTTCTTGGGTCAAAATTTGGAAGTATATTAATAATAACATAATCAGGTGGAAGGGAAAAGGCGACAATGACGTAAAATACGAAATGACAGAGAGAAGAGAAGATTCGCTGTCAAAGCATACGACAGCGTTTGAAGAATATATTAATTTTCGGAGAGTTTGATATTTGATTATAAATTGACCAAATTATCCATCACTCGGACAGTTAATAACGAAGTCCCCCGCCTGAACCGGAGTGAACCCATCACGTAACCACCAGACGCGTCTTCGTTCGAACTCGCCGATATAATCGAACCTTTACTTCTTCTTTTCTTTTTAAAAAATCGAAGAATTACAAGAAAAGAATCGTATAATTAATATTTGCCTTGGCTTTATCGGATTCGAAACACGCATACGCAAATTCGAGAGATACCCGAAGAAAGGATTTGTCGTATTTAAAAGGCGTGGATCCAGATCGTTTTCTGCTGGTGGAGAGATAGAGATAGAGAGAGATTCACGATGCCGGAAATATCTCCGGCTGAGCTCGCCAGGGTTTCTTCGTCTTCTTCTTCTTCCTCAAGTTCCGGCCGAGCGTCGGTAAAAATCGAGGAGATTGAAGGCGGTGCTGCTGCTGGTGGCGTCGTCATTGGCTCTGAAGAACTTGAGACCAATCCCAAAACTGTTGTTGCCTCCATTGCTGATGAAACTGTGGCTGAATCTTCAGGTTTGTTTCTCCCTGCAAATTGAATTCAATTGTTGATTCCGTTGTTTGGTTTGAATGCTATCGTAATTGGGTTCTTGTTTTCAGGTTCTGGCAATAAAAGCTTTTCTCGAGTATGGACAATGCCATTGGAGGGTTCATCGAGCAGTGATAGGGCTGAATCATCATCAACAAACCAACCTAGGTTAGATAAATCAAAGACTGAGAGGCAGCAAAAAGTTACTCACATTCTTGCTGAGGATGCTGCTAAGATTTTCGATGACAAAATCTCTGCAGGGAAGAAGGTACTACTTCTTTTTTTGGTTTGTTTTTTCTCTTGTCCTTGTTCTATTTTTAGTTTTCTCTTTGACTTTGAATCGTGTGTACACTTTCTTTTTATGATTCCTACTTTTATGGACAATGTTACTCTCCATGACACTTAGTCTTATTTTAATAAATGTCATATTTTGCAGCTTAAATTGCTGAACCGTATAGCTACTGTGAAACATGATGGGACAGTTGAATTTGACGTTCCAGCAGATGTTATCCCCCAACCTATTGTTGTTGACCGTGAAGAATCCAAAAACGGTCTTTGCGCTGATGAGTCTATTGATGGGGTTGACCTTCAGTATATCCCTCCTATGCAAATCGTGATGTTAATTGTTGGAACACGCGGTGATGTTCAACCTTTTGTTGCAATAGCCAAACGGCTTCAGGTTGCCTGATTTCTTCATTTGGACAATATTGATAAATTGGCTGGGAGAAAGTTACTGACTGTTTCCATTATGCAGGATTATGGGCATCGAGTTCGACTTGCAACTCATGCAAATTTTAAAGAGTTTGTTTTGACTGCTGGATTGGAGTTCTATCCTTTAGGTGGAGATCCAAAAGTGCTCGCCGGTTGTATGTATCTACCAAACATTCCCTTTCTTTCTTCATCCTTGTTAGTATTTTCTATTCTATCTTTGTAAGTTATCAGCAATTCACTGGTTTCCTTGCTATGTTGTGTACAGATATGGTTAAGAACAAGGGATTTTTGCCATCAGGCCCTTCAGAGATTCCAATTCAACGAAACCAAATGAAGGACATCATATATTCTCTACTTCCAGCATGCAAAGAACCTGATCCAGATTCTGGAATTTCCTTTAAAGCTGATGCAATTATTGCCAACCCTCCAGCATATGGTTAGTTTCATCAACTTTGGAATTACTGGCTACTATTTTACCATTGAGGATAAAATCGTTTGCATACCTAGATCTTGGCAGCAAGTACATCTGTACATGCGATGATTCTATAGTTTGAGATGCTTTGTATTTCTGGCTTCCCGGCCTATTATAGATTCACTTTTAATGGTGACTAACTTGGAAAATCACCACTTCAGGACATACCCATGTCGCAGAAGCACTGAAGATACCGATTCACGTATTTTTCACCATGCCATGGACGTAAGTCTTGTAATGGCAACACATTATGGCTGAATGAGTGTTACTTTCAACACTTTTTTTCTTCTTCTTTTTGTTCTGAATTATTCACTTTCTTTTTGCTATCTAATAATTATCCAGACCAACAAGTGAATTTCCACACCCATTGTCACGTGTCAAACAACCAGCAGGATACAGAGTGAGACTTGTTTATTTACATATCATCTGATTGTTGTTTGCTTTTAAACTTGACTTCTTTGTTCTTAATCGACATCATGCAATTTCAGCTTTCGTATCAAATCGTCGACTCATTGATCTGGCTTGGAATAAGAGATATGGTAAATGACCTTAGGAAAAAGAAATTGAAACTACGGCCTGTTACATATCTAAGCGGAACACAAGGATCTGGATCTAATATCCCACATGGATATATGTGGAGTCCTCACCTTGTCCCAAAGCCAAAAGGTAGTATGACTCATTAGCTTACTGATGAAATAGTGATGTTTTTATTTTTTAGATCTTTACTCTCCTTACTTTTTTTTTCTCAGACTGGGGGCCTCAAATTGATGTAGTGGGATTTTGCTTTCTTGATCTTGCATCCAACTATGAACCTCCTGCAGAGCTTGTGGAATGGCTAGAAGCTGGTGACAAGCCCATATATATCGGCTTTGGTAGTCTCGTGAGTGTTTTTTTTTTTTTTTACTGATTTGTATCTCTATAGGATCTTATGAGAAATTGAAAATAATGTATCTCCTGTTCTGTTTATTTGTGGTAAAGCCTGTGCAAGAACCAGAGAAAATGACAGAAATCATTGTAGAAGCACTTCAAAGAACTAAACAGAGAGGAATCATCAACAAAGGCTGGGGTGGCCTTGGAAACTGTAGGTTCTTCAATCCGTATTACCTTTCCATTATCGGATCATTGGATGTTTTCATGTTTGGTATATGTTACAATAATATGTGCTTGATGTGGTTTTCATATAGTGAAAGAACCGAAGGACTTCGTTTACTTGTTGGATAATGTCCCACATGACTGGCTATTCCCGAGATGCAAAGCTGTGGTATGTCTAATAATCTGGAAATTCTCGTCGTTTAGCCTTGATTTTTTTTTTTTTTTTTTTGGTTCTGGAGATTTTTTGCCACACATTTTACTTATCTGGATTTTTAGTTTATGAGTCTCATCTTTAAGTCTGTAATTGTTGCTCCTCTGCTTTCAGGTTCATCATGGTGGTGCTGGAACAACGGCTGCAGGTCTTAAAGCCTCGGTAAGTTTAATATGAGTGGAAGCTAAAGTCTGTGTCTTGAGATAGGACTTAAGTTGTTAATATGAGAGTGTTTTGCCTTTTTCCTTGAACACAGTGCCCAACTACAATCGTGCCTTTCTTTGGAGACCAACCTTTTTGGGGAGAACGAGTGCATGCTAGAGGTGTAGGTCCTGCACCAATCCCAGTGGATGAATTCTCACTTCATAAGCTTGAAGATGCCATAAATTTCATGCTCGACGATAAGGTAAATAGTATTTTCAAAACCAATCGGGTTTTTAACAAGTTTTGGTTTGGTTGCAGTCTAAGCATCTAAGTGTGAGCAGGTGAAGAGCAGTGCAGAGACGCTAGCAAAGGCGATGAAGGACGAGGATGGTGTGGCTGGAGCCGTGAAGGCCTTCTTTAAACATCTTCCAAGTGCGAAACAGAATCTTCCGGATCAGATCCCAGAACCTTCTGGATTTCTCTCTTTCAGAAAATGCTTTGGCTGTTCGTAACTCTCTCCCTCCAGAATCTCCTCTTTTCTCTTTTGTATTGTTGTCTCTTGTATGTCCTGTTTTCTTCTTCGGTTTTGGCTTTACAACAACTCGCTTAGGAAAAGTTATAACATTTGTGAAGTGCTTGGGAAATTCGATATTTTAGGGGATGCATATAATTTAAAATTATAAGTAGCAAAAAAATATATTAAAATTTCTGAAGATGCGCAGAGTAGTGAAGATTGTGGGATCGATTTAGAGCCGGACTTAGCACATGGTCATGAAACATTTCAATGGGGTCTCACTTTAAAGGGATCCCACGTAAATGTTTTTTTAGTTATAAATATATATAAGGAAAATTGGATATAAAGGATAAATAATTAAATTATTGTCCATCTATGCATTCTATATTTTTAATTGGTCATATATGCTTTAAAATTTGTCATATATGCTTTGATATAATTAAAATCTCATTTATATCTCTATTTTTTTCTGTTAGATCTTGTTAAACTATAAAATTCCAAAATTAATTAGATTACTTTCTAAAAATGATTTGGAGAAAATATATGACAAAAATAATATTTAATTACTTTCTAATTTTTTTTTGCCGTAGATAATTTCAAATCTTCTTTCGCTTTAATTATTTTTTTTACGGCATCTTCTTCTTCTATTTTTTTACGGCAACTTCTTCTTTGATTTTCTCTTTTGGGACTGCCCATCGATATGTTGGACGATGTCAACATATACATGCACATCAAAGGCATGTAGATGATCTACGGAAAATAACATCAGCTCATGTATTCATGACCGAATGGCAAAGTATGAACCTCTACAGCTAGATTCTAATATAATAGAAAATGAGTGAAAAACAAACACACAATGATTTATGCAACTTTTTTACATGTCAATTCACTTTTACGTTAGTCACTTTCAAATATTACGCCTATAGTAAACCACAATTTTCCACAAATGTGGTACTTTTGTTAGTTTATAATTGAGTTTGGTTATATTACGTATTTTGTATTTTGTGTAAGTAGAGCAACACGTTTCACTCATGTTACGTATTTTTCACGAAAAAGTTGCGTAGTTTCGTAATCTTAACTTTTTATATTCGATTTCCATATTTTATAATTTATTTTCCTTTTTTTAAAAATCATTGTAAATTACATAGAATTTGTTTTCTATTTTTTTGTAGAATATATAGAAAAATATAAGAATGTGTATTCTAACAATTTTAGAACATGGGTAAATGTTAGAAAACATATTCTAATTTTTCTAGAAGAAAGAGCAAAGTATAGAATATGTATTCTAAATTTCGTAGAATTTAGCATTCTAAATACCGTAGAACAGAAATACGTTCTAAATTTTCTAGAACATGTAGAGTGTATAGAATACATTATCTAAATTTTATAGAACATGTACAACATATAGAATTCACATTCTAAATTCAGAAGGCGTAGTCTAAACTTCGTAGATCATATTTTATTCATCCAAAACGGTAACAAAAACGATATATATTTGATTTTATAAGTATCCCCATGACTTCTTTATCATTTGCCTAAAATCTATTTTGAATTTTATTTTAATTATTTGTCTTTTATATCTAATTTTCCCTAAAAAAAATATTTTTTATAAGATTTAAGTTATTATTTCTTTTTTAAAGGATATAATTGTAATATGTTTTTTAAAATAATAGTTTTGTTTAAATTGATTATTTTTACTTTATAATTTTCAATATTATGAAAATTATGATGTTATTTTTTTCTTAATTCTACTTGCCCCAAAATTCATTGGTCCTGCTCTGGATCGATTTTTAATGTTATGACATCTTTTGTTTCATTTTCTTGAGCTGCAACTTCTATTGAATGGTGTTGTACATAAACAACAAATCTCTATTTTTCTATTAATTTGTTGCTTTTTTATCATTAATTGGTCTATGTAAGAGCATCTTTGATTGCTTGTTGATGTGGTATAATTGTTACGGCCAATAAATGAATTTCCAAATGTGGTGAGCTATTTTTGTTCATCTATTCTTTTGTCATTTGTATTGTTTGTTTTCTAGTTATACTCGTAAATTTCATGACCTATGAAAGCGCATGTTTTGACATTAAACGTTGTTGCCGACAATCAACAAGTGGGAGCCTACATTAGCTTAGTTACTTTATAACAAAATTATTGTCCGCTTATCAAACGATGATTACTTGATTATTACATAATTATAACATTATTAGCAGTTAAAAAATTGAATGATTAACTTTGTAATGAACATAAGGTGCAATAGTCACATGGGGAAAGTCAATAGTGCCGAATTAAGGAAATAAAATTATCCGGAACAATATGAGACCTACAAGTTTCAGTTAGCTGTCCTAGCTAATAACTTTATATGGTTTAAATTATTTATTATAGTTTTTATTTTCCCTTTTAAATTGTCTTTTACAAATCATTATCCAATGACTCGCGAGTTGCGAGAAAGAAGAGAGGGATGAGGAATACCAATCACATGACATGATACCGTTTGTTGGCCAAACTCATTATTGCTTATCACTGTACGATTATATTATACAAGTACACATGCACATGTGTTTTCATTTTCTATAGAAACAAAAATAATAATTGCTATAGATATCTAAACCCTTATTTATACTTGAAAGGTTATAAATTCTGATTGAAAGCTTATTAGTTATAACTTATATAAGTACGCTGATATAACAAGTTTTAGCACTTAACTTTTTTCGTAAGAACAATATTTTTTAGAATTGTTTAGAGATATACCTAACACCCTAGATTAAATCTGTCGGTCGGGTATTAATGCATGAAAGATGACTTATGAAAACAGTCAAATAGTTTTTGTAACCTACTTTATTATTGTTCAAAAATAAATATGTATAGAGGTATAAAGGTTTTCTGATGAAAAATGAATATGGAATCAAATAATATAATCGTTAAATATATTTTTTATTAACTGTAAAACCGCTGAATTGCGATTTTCACAATCATACTTGCTATAAATTCAGGGAAATGATGAATAGAGCACATATAGTTCGCAATAAACTTTTTAATAGATAAAACCATACATAATGGGTGAATGATTTAATCATCGTCCAGATAAGCAATCACAACCTAGATTCATGACTCTGCGGAGTAAACAATTTATATACTTTTAGATTTTTTTTTCTTTATTTATTCTTTATATTTATTATTTTCTATGAAATTAGGCCAATAAGATAATGGGAATGGTCACACAATCTTCTTCTTATATTAACATCTCTCTCCCGTAGCCTTTTCTTCTACTCTTCTTCTCCTATTCCTCCTTTTTCTCTTTTTTTTTCTTCGAGAAAAGCCTCTGCCTCAGATAGAGACAGCTAAACAGAACAGAGCAAGAACACTACAGCCATAACAATGGCTGTCACAAAACTTATTCTCTTTGCTTCTGCATTGCTTCTAACAACTCTCTTTATCGGCGTTAATTCATCCAGGTAACCACTTATCATCACATTATTGTCATTTTATTGTACATTGGTTTTAGGCATGCCTAAGACATCCATTGCAGATTAATTTCAAGTTCAATGTAGCTTAATTCTACGTTTTCGATCTTGTTCATGCAACCGAGCCATTGAGCTTAAATAGTTCAGCATAACACCTAACTAAGAGGTTTTTTGTGGGTTACGATAGATGGGTTTTCTAAAAAGATAAATTTTAATCAATCATACATGAGACAATAACGTTTAGATTGTATAATTAATGTTTTTTCAGGTCCAATGAAACATGGCATGAACATGCAGTTGAGAACCCAGACGAAGTAGCTGCCATGGTGGACATGTGAGTTTCTCTAAAAAAACAAAAGATATTCCACGAATATATATGTCTATAACTTAAAAATATATATATATATATATATATGTCTATAACTTTACTATTAATTAACAACTACCTCATTTCTTGTATATAAATTAGCTAATAAGTATTTTTAGTCTATTGAACACTTAAAACAACTCAAGTCTTACTCCCATAATTATTAATCAAAAAAAGAAAATTAAACTCTTACTTCCACAGGGTATATCATCTCGTGATATTTCTTTTAATCGAGAAAAAAACAGGTAAGTAGAATTTATGACAAAGCAGAGCTCACATGAAGTTCTCTTGAAAAAGTTTGACACATCACTTTCATATTCTAGTCAAAATGGGTCCAACCCAAAGCCACATTCCTCTGACTATTCCCTTTCTTTCTCCTTTTCCATTATCATAAATAAACAAAATAATGATTTTGTTAGATAATTTACTAGTTTTTTCATCAAATATAACCTCTGTTTTCTTAAGACAATGAAACTATGTTAGATGATTAGGTTTTCTTTTGGGTTAAAAATTTAGCTCATTTACTTAAACAGTTAACATATATTTGTATAAGTTGGTTTTTGATTTATAGATCCTAGTGACACCGACATGCTATAACTACAGAAAGTTCATTTCCGAATTAACCAAAAAGAAAATAAATCCGGATTTGTATATGTATATTTATGTCATTTCGATTACTAATCGTGGTGAGTGAGAGATACTTTATGCTTATTCTCCTACTGCTCACATGTAAGCAAGTATTCGGTAGCTTCTTCATTAAAGGCAATAATGCATTTTGATCATAAAAATATATTTTAAAATGTAGTATCAAAATGTTTGATCATGCATTTTGATCCTTTCCTTTCCCTTTTCTTGAGATTGTGTAGTATCAAAATGTTTCTTTGTTTTTTTATTATTTTTAGCCAAGGATCATTCTCTAGGTCTTATTGTAACACCTAAACTTTTCATCTAATGATATTAACCATTTTAGCAAAAAAAAAAAAAAACATTTTAAAATAAACTTTGATAGTGAAAAATGTTTTGTGGTATTATTGAGAGGCATTGGTCCAGTCTCGAGAACATGTGTAAATGTTTTCAGTACTAATCTTTGAAACAATGATTTGCCAGCCCATGCACATGCTCTTGTCACATGCAGTGACACGTACTCTTCATAACATTTTTTTTTTTTTTAAATCAACAATTCGTTGGACTTGGAATTTTCATTAGTCTTACATAAATTTTTTATAATTAATGATATACCATGTCTTGAGTTTTTAGTTTTGCAGTACGAAAAAGAGTTTCGACAGTAGGTTATATAACTTGTTTTTGATTTTCTTCAGTACAAAACCACAAACATAACTATTTTGGCGTGATGACAAAAAAAAAAAAAAACTATTTTGGCGTTTTCACACAAAAGATAACAATAGTTATGTATTTTGAAAAGTCCTATATATATGTAAGATCATTTAACTCCCTCCAACTATGATCAATGTCACTTTTTGTTTATCAAAGAAAAAACTATGGAATTATCCCCTTCAAAAGTTTATTTTCTGCTCTATAGAGAGCTTGACGGTGTCTTGTGCGGCATATTTGCATGCATTTTTTCATGAATTTGTTTTTCTGTTCTGATAAATAAAACTATTATACATTATACAATTGTGGAAAGATCGGATTTTTAATGTAATTCTATTATACATATGGTTTTAAAATTTAGTGGTATATGTGAGATATCTTAAAAATTTAGCTAACCTTAGCTAAGGTTAAATGATTTACAGATATTTGTGGTAATACATGTTGGATTAATCAATTTATTGTTGAACTCCTAAATTAGCACTTTAACAAAAAAAAAAAAAAAGAACTCCCTAAATTAGCAATTCAGGCCTCTCTTATTTGACTTCGAGTTTTTGTTTATATAAAAAATTAGAAATTTCATATATAGTATATAATGTGACAAAATTTTCTTCTACAAGTATTGAGAGTATAAATTAGCTAAAATAAAACTCAAATTTATACGATAAATCAGATAACTAATTTTGTAGTGATTAAGTAAAATTATGGAAAGTCATATAATTTTCAATTTTCCATTACTTAATTTGGTTCAACATATATAATGATGATGAAACAGGAGCATTCGAAACAGCACAGAGCGGAGAAGATTAGGTTACTTCTCCTGCGCCACCGGCAACCCAATCGACGATTGCTGGCGTTGCGACCGCAAATGGCAGCTCCGTCGCAAACGTTTAGCCGATTGCTCAATCGGATTTGGCCGCAACGCAATCGGAGGCCGCGACGGTCGTTTCTACGTCGTAACCGACCCTGGAGACGACAATCCGGTTAATCCGATACCGGGAACACTCCGTCACGCAGTGATCCAGGACGAGCCACTCTGGATCATCTTCAAACGCGACATGGTCATAACCTTGAAGCAAGAGCTGATCATGAACAGCTTCAAAACCATCGATGGTCGTGGTGTCAATGTTCACATAGCTAATGGAGCTTGTCTCACGATTCAATACGTTACGAACATTATTGTCCATGGGATTCATATTCATGACTGTGTACCTACGGGTAATGCTATGGTTAGAAGCTCTCCGTCGCATTATGGGTTTAGATCGATGGCTGATGGTGATGCCATCTCGATTTTTGGGTCGAGTCATATTTGGATTGATCACAATTCGCTTTCTAATTGTGCTGATGGGCTTGTTGACGCTGTTATGAGCTCCACTGCAATTACTGTCTCAAACAATTTCTTCACCCATCACAATGAGGTAAAACCTAATTCATTATTGGGATGATTGATTTTCTCTGTTCGTTGATTTGGGAATTAGGGTTTTTTAGCAGTAAATTGATTAGAGATTGTGTTCACCAGGTTATGTTGTTGGGGCACAGTGACTCATACACAAGAGATAAGGTGATGCAAGTCACAATTGCTTACAACCATTTTGGTGAAGGTTTAATCCAGAGAATGCCAAGGTACTAACTTGCTTGAAGAAAACGGTCTTAACATTCCTCAGAAAATCTCAAGCTCTGTTTAGTTGTGTGATTAGAGAAGTTGTGTAGACTCTAAGAAACGTTTGTTTTTTGCAGATGTAGGCATGGATATTTCCATGTAGTTAACAACGACTACACGCACTGGGAAATGTATGCAATTGGTGGTAGTGCTAGTCCCACCATCAACAGTCAGGGCAATCGATTTCTTGCTCCAACAAACCCATTTGCTAAGGAGGTATCACTTGATTCAAAGGATCGATCTTTATAGTGTTTTGACATTAATTCTATGTCATGATTACAAACACAAACTGTGTCATTGGTCTTTCTAACATGATTATTGCAATGAGATTGATGATTGGTGAAAATTGTGGAATATGGCAGGTGACTAAGAGAGAGTACACAGGAGAATCGAAATGGAAGCACTGGAATTGGAGATCAGAAGGAGATCTTTTCTTAAACGGAGCATTTTTCACACGTTCTGGAGCTGGAGCTGGATCCAACTATGCCAGAGCTTCGAGTTTATCAGCCAAATCATCCTCACTCGTTGGCACCATGACCTCTTACTCAGGTGCTCTTAACTGCAGAGCTGGTCGTCGATGTTAATTGATCAAGAATCAGGAAGAAAACAAAAAAAAAAAACCTTTTTTTGGTTGTGCAGTAGTCGACAAGTTTACCCATATCAGGCCCTCTGTTTTTTTCCTTTTCACTTTTTTTTTTTTTTTTTCACTCTTGGGGTCTCTTGCGATATATGCTTCCTATTGGATGTGGAAGCCTAATTTAAACGGCTTCAACTGTAATATAAAGTTGTATGATTAATTCTTTTCACGTCCATTGATATAAAGTTGTTTCATGAGTCGTTATCTTGCTTTACTGGCCTCTAAATGTACTTTGGTGGGCTGCTTCAAAAGGAATCAATCAATAGTGAATGGATTGAGAAATGAAGGAAGTGAATGTGGTGGGGACTTAAGAAAGGAAACAGAGGAGAGACAAGAAGCACATGAGATTGCAAAGATGGAAATGTGCTTTAAAGAAGAAAAGTCTCTTTTTGAGTCATGTGATGTTTGGCCAACGATCATGTCAATGCTTCTCCCCTCCATTACAACCCGATTTGAACTAATTATATTCTCCATGATTCCACACCGATAGCTCATTATTCCCTCTTATTTGGTACTGATATTGAATTATTGATGGTAAAATAAGATACATATTTTTAATTGGTTTTGATGATTTCGAAACATTTAGATATGCAATGACTAGATATGAATTAGTCAATTAGTTGCAACAACATATAAAGGGATCGTCATCCTTCCAGCCAACACATTGACCAACAGTGTATCCTTTTCTGATGCAAGCGGCCGTACAGTCCCCAACCAATGTACATGGTGCAATGCATTCTGTTTGCGCTTCTACTTTATCTACAATTCACTCCAAAAAAAAAAAAAACAGAAATTTCATAACACAATATTAATATTTCTCATAATTTTATATTACCATAGACAAAAGAAGATGTGTAGCTCATAGAAGGTCTAACCTGGAATCAGAAAGAGGAAGATTATTGAAGTAATCACGAGCAAGCTCATGAATCCAATCTTGTAATTCATTTTCGTTGTATTATCAATATCACTTTAGTCTCAAAATCTGTTTTATAGAGATATTCAGACTCGAGCGGGATTTAATTGGTGTTCGTTTTCATTGACTAGCACATTACCATTCTAGGGGCACTTAAAATGTTCTTTCTATTGATATTACGAATTTAGAATGTGACCTATTTCTCTTGACTGGTTTAACCCAAAAATAAAAATTACCAAAAAAAAAAATTACTTTGTTTTTTTTTTTTTTTGCTAAGAACTTTGTTTTCGTTTGACTGTATAATTGAGTTATTTTATTGCCAATGTAAGGAGACTTCGATTCTCTCAATCCTTTTGCATGCAAGACGTACTCAAACATTGGACGACATTTAAGTACTCCTTATGCAGACCTCTTATTTTTACTCTCATCCATATATCACATATGATATAATACTTTTAGTAGAAAATTTAAAAGTTGAGAAAATTGTCCAATTCCAAAATAACCTAAATTTCGTTCTCTATCATTTTGTCACGCCTCGCCGCCTCCTAACAACCAAATAGAACTCCGTTGAAGCTGTGATTCCAATTCATGATAACCGATTCTGACTTCATTCTTTACATATTTTCTTTTTTTTTGTCAAATAGTTTTACTTTTTATATAACAAAATTACTTAGTTAACCACAAACAAAATATATAACAAATTTACTTTGGTTTTCTTAGTTTCGGAGACCAAAACAAGACAATTGAAATTGTCAACAACTCACACATTTTTCGATCATATATAAAAAAGGTGCATTACATGGAAGCAAATAGATCCAATTATCCTCACACAAGTTCCAAATAGGAACGGAATACAAATTTATCAGATTCTAGAAGGATCGTAATCCCGTCTTGGCGCTTTTTGATGCCTTGCGTTGGCCTTGGAGACATACTCAAGGTTTAATCAAATTCCTCATAAAACCACATCATGAAGTGTTTATCGTATGCACAGTCCATTGAACAAGCGAACAAAACAGTTGAATCTGGAGAAGCAGCCTCAAGGAAGGAAGGGAACCCCCAACGTTGTTCACACACTAAATTTGGACAAGTAGCCTTAAGGAAGGAAGGGAACCTGCAACGTTTTTTACACCATATGCAAAAAGGTCTAGTCATACCATCGTTGGCAACTAGTTCAGCTTGGCCGTATTTGTTCCCTGGCTTTAAGTAACTAAAGTCTCCAAGTACACAGTTGATATGGAGAGTTGACCCACAATCATCACAACCATAAAACCAAACGCTAGGATCTATCTTTCCCTCACAAATATCACACCATAGTTGACCTTTCGATTTCCCAGGAACATGATGCAACGATAAATCATGATCGTCGCATCTGTGTTTCACTTTTCTTGGTAAAGTGGCACAATCCATGCCTAGATTAAACTCACAAACAGTACAACTTAAGACATAGTGTAAATATTTACCACATGCTCCACAAAGCTTAAGTCTTCCGGTTGGTGACAATATGTGGTATAAGGGATGGGGATGCAGTTCATGGTGAAAAGGCTCGGAAACGGAGCCGCACCGCACATCAAACTTTTCAAACCTTGAACAGTACCGGAAGCCATCGAATAATTTGTTACAAGATCTACACCCATTATACTCGCCAGCCTTATTCAATTCGTAACCTGTAGAGCAAGCTTCTCGGTGTGCATGATACTTCGTTTCCTCCGAGGAAGACTAGCACATACTTTATGAAGGAAGAACTCGCATTGCACACATTTGAAGAATGGATCACAACTGATGGGAGTGATGCAAGCGTCGCACCGCATCTTTTCATAACCGATAACATTATCATCACCAAGTCTTAGATTATGTTCTTCATGACTAAAATGAATGATTTCTTTATCATTTATTACCTTGTATGGATCTTCAATTTCTTCTTCTTCTTCTTCAGGCTCATCTTCCAGTTCTTTTCCATCCCACACATCTTCCCTTGTCGCACACTTTGAATGAACAGCATAATTAGGACAACGCTTGCAAGTGAAAGCTCCAAACATCCAATCTATCTCTTTGCGACAAACTCCACATGAATCCCAACCGCCGTGGCCGAGATGATAGGTGCGAGAAATACGGTGGTCATGACGGTTAATGTTTATAACTCGGGGCAAATCGATGCAGTCTTTGTGCAGCATGAAAGCACATTCAAAACAAAAGTAAGGATTGCAGTCACCAAGCATCCCACATGCATTACAAGTGAAGGTGATCTTTCTCGGCATGAGGGTGAATGTATGGTCGTGGCTCTTTGGTTGATAAATAGTACGCTCTGGTGGAAACCTCCAACAACGCACATCTACGCTGAAGTTACATAAAGAACAATGATACGTCGGATCAACAAGTTCTTCTCTACAAAAATGGCATTTGCCATCTGTATAGTCAATTGTCCCGGGCGAGACTTTCTTGAGAGGATGTCTGGAGTGACACGGGTGCTCGATGGTGTCTGGCCACTCGATGCATTCCGAATGCGCATGAAATTTGCAGCTTGGACAGTAATAGCACATGCCATAATCTCCGTCGCATACTGCACAATAACTATATGATTGCGTCAAATATATGTAGCTTAACATATGATTGCAGGGAATCTTCATCTTTTGCTTTGGTTGGTCCATTGGTTGGTCTGGGATCGGCTCCATTTTTGTTGGGTGAAGTCGAAAGATTGAATATCAAAGGGAAGGCACAAGTTTGTACTTTTTTCATGAGTGGGTGGGCAAGACCTCCTTGCTAACTCATTTTTCTTTGTGTCCCTTTTGAGTTATACATAAATTGTGTAACCAGTGACCTGATTGTCAGGTCATATACAGTATTATTTTAGTATTTACCGATTGTCATTGACTTTACCGACAAAACCAGCTCATCATCGTGCATCGTGCAGATTGCAACATTATTTATTACTCCTTCGGTTCCAAATTATAAGATGCTTTTGTTAAAAGCACAAAGATTAAGAAATAATAAATGTTTATTTATTTATAAAAATTTAACCAATAGAAAAAATGACAGCAGAATTCAAAAGGTCATAAATAAACTAAATAAACATAAATTATGCATAAAAATCTGAAAAAATTTTATATTGTGGAACAAGAAAAAAAGTCTTAAACATCCTATAATTTGGAACAGAGGAAGTAATTATCAATAGGCCATTTTGTCGTGTTATTATATTTGTTGAATTTATAAAATTGATCTACCATAAACATTACTTTTTTAAGTGTTTCATTTGGTCTTTTTTTTTTTTTGTCATCTAGTTATATATATATATTGAAATAGGCTTGAATACCAAAACAGGTTACACAAAAATTGATCCTGATACGTGTCATCTGGTTATATATATATTGAAATAGGCTTTATTTTTATATATAAACGAACAGCTAGCGGCGATCATTTTAAAAAGAGTGAATTTGGGCAGAAGTAAAAATGGGAACACAAATTAGGGGAAGGGTATTATCAGAAGCTGTCGGCAAAGAGGTATTATCAAAAGTTAGAAAAGGGTCACTTTTAGAAGTTATTTACAAAATAACCAGGAAGCGTAAAACGTATGCGCGTGGGTTTGGCTTCTGACATAAAAGTACAATTGAAATGACATATATTAAATGCTTGCCAAGTAACTGACCCTCACGCGCCCCACATGCGCATGTCCAACATAAGAGCTGCTTAGACATACACATTTTAATATAGACGTCTACATATCTAACAGGAGGAGTAAAACTCATTGAATATGTAGTTGTACATAACTAGATATACATGTATTTATAAATATAGCTATCTATAGCTAATGAATGACCATTTATATCGCGTGAAAAGTTAAAACGTAGAGCCATAAAAGGTTAGAAGGTATAACCAACAGATTGAAAGAAAAATACAGATACTACTAGTTCAGAAGATGAAAGACTGGTAGAACAACAGTTCAAAATAAAGAAGGAGGATAGAGGAATAATCCAAAAGAAAACATAGGTAGATTATAATAAAATACACAACCCTCATTGGGTTTCTAATGAAAGTCAACGGGTGCAGCGGAAAATTGTCCTTCGAATATTGACCCCAACCTCTAATACAACCAATAAACATCTAACGGCTGAACTTGACACCTTCTTCAAGGCGCTTTAACAATACTTGAACACTGGGGTCACTTACCTCATCAACCCAACCGCAATCTTCCACCCCAGTGACAACATCAGCCGAAGGTATGATAGACAGAACATCGACCTATAAAAGCGGTTGATAGACGTTAAAAAGGGATATAGCCGTATATCTAAACAAATAACGCATGACAAAAACTGAACGGACATTTATATAAACACGTAGAGGTCTAATATACCTGATCTTCTCCATCCAATTCCCACACTTTATCTAATTTCAAAGAAATTACAGGGAACATATGTTCATCGTCGGATTCTGGTTCGGTTCTATCACAACCTACTGAAAGGATGGCCGGCATAGCCTCCACAAATACAAGGACCAAAGCGTGTATAAAACCTTGGATGGCAACAGTGGCCTAAGCCAATTGAAGTAAAGATCTAGACTTAATGCATTGCAGCGTCATATCAAAACTGTACCGACCCCAAGGATATTTCAAAAACACATCCAAATCCCGAATCATCTCAACATGCTCCCTCGGAATCATCATTGTGGGCCAACTTCTCGGAGAACACCGGCTTTCAGTAAAGATCCATGATTTCTCAAAGCTAGGTCGAATGGTTTCGATCTT